GGATCTAATGTAGATATCTTCTCGACCAAATTACAAATTATAATTATTTAAATTTCTACGGATAAAATGGCCGATAACTGATAACCAATAAAGAAACAAGAACCACGGTATATCAGCGATACTACAAGACAATCGGTTGATGCTAGGAGTCCGGCTAAGCAGCTGACTTCGTTTTACCAACCTAGACATCTTAAAAGAGCTTACTCTGAGTATAAATTAGTTCGCGTTTAGTTCAGAGTTTGTAATATGACTGAAAAGTCTAACATTTCGAAAAAGCTCTTGAAGCTTGGACCTATTACTTCAGCACAAGCAAAAAAGTCATGTGAAGATAAACTTATTTCGGTTGTCCAAAGCTCTTGTGGTGCAAAAAAGACTAGGTTTGCACCTGGTAAGCACACTCTAAAGTACCAATCCTGGTCCCTAGAGGAATTTTACTGAGCAGTCATTTTCAGATAATTATAACCAAATATCTACTTAATAATGACCAATTGTTGCTCGGTTACACTGTAATCAGATAGTATTACCCTGATCTTTAGTCTCTCTAGTCTCGGAATGACTCTTCTGAGTAGACTAACTGATATCTCCTATAAATGCAGAGATGCAATCATCAATATCAAGGAGGTCGCAGATACCTCTACAGTGTTTATACATATACCCAATGTATCTTCCTACTTATTATATTATCTTAATTCAGTAGGGAATTTGGAATAATCACCTGACTCTATAGTCGAGATCACAGAAGACGATAGCTGATAATGGTTCTGTGAGTGCACTGGAAGCCTACATTAAATTACAGCAGCTAAAACTAAGTATAGTAGAAAATGCTAAGCTGTTTAATAGGTTTGACTGACTTTTGAGATTCTTAAGAATTCTTCATAATACTAACTGATTCTAACGGTCAAATTCGCAGTGAAATTTTTGAAAGTTTCTTCCGTTTAAGAATCGGGAATCTCTATCCCCCTACATTGTGTAATCATACTATAGATAGTAGAATAACCATGATTACCACAACAGGGAATTATACCATGAGGGGAATTACCGGCCTCCTTCCTCTAGGCTTGAGGGAAATATTATAATATTTTTGTCAGTTCAAAGCAATATGGTGATTTTTGAGGGCTCAAGTCATCCTCCTTTCCAACTTCTAGGTTAATAGGGCTCAAGTCATCCTCTTCCTAAGAGCTAAAGTCTTTCTTAGGGAATTATCTCCTTACTAGAGGGAATTATGCCTCCTCTATAGTACAGTAGTCCAGATTACCCAGGGACGTACTGATTTTTCTTATGGCTAGGTCACTGTAGACAGACTATTAGAACCTTTTGAATAGTCTACAGACTTACCTTTCGATTGACTGAGCCATTTTTAGATCTTGTGTGCCTCTCTATAGGTCTTACCACCATTCAAATATATACCTGCCTGCTCTAAGGTCTTATGGTAATAGTAGGGAAATAGGGGAATCTATAGACTCACCCTCAGATAGTGCTGTGGCCTTATATTGTTCTTGCCACCATTCGAATACATGCCTTCCTTCACGAAGGTCTTAAGGTTTATTGAGAGTTTAACTTACCTGTACAATGATCTGTTTAGATCGACTCTCTTCAAATACGAGACAGTAAGGCTGTCTATTAGTGCCTAATAGTAGGACTTATCTGCTGAAAAGCTAAGTGTAGTAGCACATCTGATCAATAGTCTACAATAACCTAGGATCTTTTGAGTAGATTGAGTCTCTGATCTTTACCATAGATAGACTCAAAGTGCCTTATTCTTCAAGGTCTTACTACTGCTTTTGGTCAGACTCTTTCCTTTTCTTCATTTCCCACAAGTATCGTGGTCTCACATCCAGTATTGAGTATTAGTATGACTGGACCTACTCTAAGGTGAAAGCTAGTACTTGTTAGAAACTTATACATGGCTATTCATGTGAGGAGTCTGGTAATTTAGGGGATTCTTGCTCCAGGTGAGCTTCTAGCTAGATTTATGCCAGTATGGTAGCATGACTTACCCTTGTTTGTTTAGGTGTCATAGTCCCGATGAAACTCTCATCCTATATAATTGTTGTGCTTACCTCAACTAATTTTAGGAGAGTCTGGCTTTCAATTTGACTGTTCGTCAGAAAATCTTTTCTTTCGTCAGAAAGACTGCTAGTTTCTTTAGAATCCTCATTAAGCTCTACTCCATTATCATCCATATCAGATTCTGTGTAGGCTTCGGCTGATTCATCATCGTACCATTCGTCACTGGAGTTTTGTTCGAGTTCGCGGAGTTCTTCTTCAATGAGCTCAATTCGCAGCATCACGGCTTCTTTATGGGCGAATGTCTCTTACCTCAATTTCTCCGAGTGAAGGACCTTCTCAGGTTTGTACATTTCAGGACAGTATTCTTCTACCTCTTTCAGATCGTTGATGACTTTGTCCCAGGTACTCAGCCTTTTGTTGAGTGCACTTACCTTTGCTCTCAGCTCGTCTAACTCTTTGTTTAACATAGACTCACCAAGAAACATGGCGTCGTTCATCGTTCGTCTCAACTTTTGAATTATAAATTTAAATAATTATAATTTGTAATTTGGTCGAGAAGATATCTACATTAGATCCAATAGATTCTATTAATTAGACATCGGGAATTAAATTGACACCAGAAATTAATTTACGCAGACTGGTGGTTTAAATACTGAGAGATAATAACTCTCAATTATAATATTAAAATTAAAAGCAAGAGAAACTCTGCGAAAACTGCGATGGACCTGAAGACTAGAGTCTTGTGCGATGGGGGACTTCCACTCGGTAAAGAATCGATCTGAAACGGTGGAAGGGTGCTCCAGAACCTCGACATCAAAGTTGCGAAGGAAAATCACAGAGACTGAAACTCTGCCTGTAAATAGACAAGGTACTATGAATTCGAGTATGGGGTTAAAAAGCCTCTCGAATAAAAAGAATGAAATT